TCGCGGCTCCCGGCTGCCCCCCGAGGCCTGCACCGCCTCCGCCTCGCCGGCGGGCTGCGCCCCGAAGCTGCCAGGGCGGTTTGGCCTGAGAAGTCGCCCTTCGCGAGCCTTGGGGCGCAACCCCCCTTCCTCAGGCAGGGGGAGAGTCTGCAGCTTGGAGAAGGGTGTTTTCCCTTGCAGGCTTTTGGGTGCAAACACCCTTCTTCAGGCTGCAGATGCTTGAAGAAGGGCGTCCGCGCCCAAAAGCTTGAGAAGAACAGTTTTTCCAGCTACTTAGTTGGTCTGGTAAAAGATACCACGTTTACCCCACAAAGCTTGTCTGCCTGCGTCCTTGGACCCAGGCGGCTACAACCAGCGCCCCAGCGCTGCTCGGACCCTGCCGCTATTGCCACCGCGACGGAGGAAACCCACGGCAGGAAGAGCCGCGGCTGCTCAAACCCTGCCCGAGGCCGGACGGACGCAGGGCAAGACCCCGCGCCTCCTCCGGCCTGGCGTGGCTCCCCGCTCGCTCCGCTTTGCAGCGGTGTGCAAGGTCAGCGGCCCCGTGTGCCAGGCTGCAGGGCACACTTGGGCGCAGGATGGTCCTTCCCCCCCGGGCGATCCCCAGTTGCACATCCCAGACCGCCTTCACTCTCCAGCACCTGTGGTTCCTAATGACAGGTTAGACAGGGATGGTTTAGCCTGCCACGAGCCCTTCCAGTCCATATTTTATTTTAAATGCTGTCGTGCTGATGTACAACACTTGCATGAATTATATTCCTGGAATAACGACCGCAAGTCGAGGTCAGGTGGAGCCTGGGCACAACCAGCTGGAGGTCTGTGAAGGGAGGACAGGAAAGTAAAGGGGGCACGAGTTGATTTTCCTAATATAAACTAGAGGTGGGAGGAGTGGGAGATGAGGTTATATTCAGTTTAAAAGCAGACCAGCTGTTCTTGGCCTAAGAAACAGGCTCTTTATGCTGCAGCTTCATCTGCAAACAGGCTTAAAAATAAAGTCAGAGGCGGGCTTAGGTTTAGGAATCAAAGTCCCCAGATAGTCAAACACCCTTCTTTGGTGTTTCGGCTTTGGACCTTTGCTAGTTTACAGGTCCTCGTTGTTTCTATAGCTGTCATCCCTGCTCTGGAAAGCGTCCCTTTGCAGAGACCAGCACATGCAACTTCTGAATGACAAATTATAGACAAACAGGGCTCCTGCCTTGAGGAGGGGGTTGGGCTGGATGGCTCGAGGTCCTTTCCAGACCACAGTCTCGACCATCGTCCAACCTGCTCTTAGGAAGTGACCATGATGGAGATCCCAGCACCTCTCCCGGTTTCTGTTCTGGTGATGACACGCTCTCGGGGGTTTCTTCCTAACAGCCACCCTACACTTACCTCTCTGCCATTTCCACCCGTCACGTCCTGTCCCATCCCCTCAAGACGCAGGCAGCAGTTGATGTCCATCTTCCTGCGAACAGCCTCTTCATTTTTGCAGAGACTTCCCAGACCCTCCCCCAGCCATCTATTCTCACCACGAAACACTCCCGTTCTTCCATTTGTATCACCTAATAACCGATGTCCCCAAAATGTATGGAAGGACGTGCATCTATACACTTCCTGCTGGATACCATCAATAATTCCTTGCTCTGTCCCAGGCCCCATTGCAACCTCAGAGCCAAGGAGCGTGAAAGAGGTTGGCCTCATTACACGATGCATCTACCCCGTGTCTGGGTCACTTCAGAAAGACGCACCTACGTGCAATGAGACGGCCTTCGAAGAGTGCTGCATGCACACTGATGAGTTTGCCCGAGGCAGGGAAATGTGCCCAGCCTGGCCCTGCGATGGCTGGAAGAGTCATCTATTGCACGCAGCGTGGTCCTGCTTGTGCACCACTGAAATCCTAGCACAAGTGTGCAGCAGTGCCAGTATTGCCTGGGGTCTCGCTGCTCAGCACAGTAACGCGAGCAACATGTTACACCTGGCACTTAAGACCTCCTTGAGGAAAATGGCTAACTCAGTGCCCCTCACCTTCCTCCCTCTGGAAGTTGAGATGGTCTCTCTTCTAGACCCCTTCCAGCCCTGGTCCTGTGTCACCCCAGAGGGATGCATGCTGCGACTCATGCAACTGCAGGCCTACTGCTTCTGATGCCACTGCTGCTTGTGACCACGGTGTCAAGTTGAGACTCATTTTCATGAAGTGGTAGCAGATCCTGGAACACCATAAAAAGTTTTTTGCTCCTTCTTGTCCAGCTTTTTATACATTTGCAAGTCCCTAGTACCTTGGCCAAGTTTCTAGGTATGCAGGCATTCAAGTTTTCAGTTTTCTGCAGGACAAAATGTCAGAAAATGGTAGCTCACACTCCCTGGGTCTCATTTTGCAAGTGAACAACATGGAATACAAATCGGAGTCTGACTCCGCAGCCTTTCTGCCCCGTCTCCTTTCACAATGGCGCTTCTGGCGCTCCCTGGCTCCTCTCTCAACACGGCGTGTCCAGCAGCACGAGGGATCTGACACGGGTCCATCTGGTGTTGAACTAATCAGCCCTGAGCCCATCCACAGCACCCACCTGGGCCCGAGCGGCTCCTTCAAGACAAGAGCCTCTGAAAGGTGCAGTTCTCCGCATCTGTGGCACTCACGTGGCCACGGCACTGAGGGCTGTGCTTTCACAGCCAGTCCCATCTGCGTGTTCACTGTAAACTCTCGAGTGGCCCTAAGAGCCCCCCTGCCAAGCCTGGATGTGTGCCGTGCCAGTCCCGCACGCATTAGAAACGGCGTGCGTTTGCAATTCTATCATATCACATCAGTGCAACAGAGGATGTGTAAATACGCACGCTGCTAATTGAGCCCTTACAGAAGCCCAAGCAGCGGGGATTATCTGAGCAAACAGATGAGAACGAGACTGCAAGAGGAGCTGGCCAGGGATTTTTCCAACAAGGTTACTCAGGTGCAGGCAGGGATATCGGGCCAAACACCCACCGTACTACCGAGTGCATGCATCTGCTGGGATCAGGGCCTGGACCCTACGGGTGCCAAGAGCCCTAGCCGAGCACTCGGTAGCTGGCCTCACTTGCTCTCTCCTCCGAACACAACAAAACCTCAGCATTTTCCACAAAGTCAAATCCGTCTTTTGGGGCCAGCACAGAGCACCGCAACGAGCAACAGAGGCTCGACACCATCCAAGCAGCCCCTGGTGCTCGGAGAGACCTCCAAGGGCTTTTCACACGAGCGCTCTAGCACTTGAGCAGGCGAGCAATGACAGCAGAAGTGTGATGAATACTGCCGTTTTGCAGGTAGGGACCCTCCCCTGGGCTGGATTCACACCCAGCACCTGGCAAGAGGGCCACCCAAGGGTCCCCAACTCAGATGTTGCTTTACTTTTACAGCAACTCTTGCAGTTCTCATCAGCGCTGCACCTGACGGTGCCGGGAGGGCACCAGGGTGTGGGATGGGGCATGGAGGGAAATGCCAGATATCGGCAGGGGATCCCTAGCTAGAAGCTGTCCGCACCTTGTTGGGGCGTGTGTAGACGAAACAAAATTTCCCATTTACATTGACACAACTGCGTTTGTGTTTGCATGACCTGGGATTTCCCGCCGCTTTAAAGTCCATTTAGCGCCTTATACTAACACTACTTATGTTGTGCAAACAAAAATGCTCCGCACCAAAAAAAAGCTACATTAAAATTGTCGGGTGGTCTACATCGACACCCGTGTCATCTACACATGCCCTTTAGGTGCTATTAGTGCTGTCACCAATGGTTCCTGGGCCCAGCACAAGGACTGCCAGAGGCAGCGCTGATGGGAAGAGGAGAGTGCCCCAAAAACAGCGCAAGCCCATCCTAGCACAGGGGTCTCCTGCCATCCACTTCCGAGGCAGCTTTCAGCCCCATTGCACCTGACCCCAGGATCCCAAACAGCACCTGGAGGCCACTGCAGACAGAGGGGCAAGGTACCATCTTTATCCCTGCTTACGACCATGCACGCAAGTATTTACTGCTGCTTAGTAAGTCCCTGCTCCCTTTTAACTCTCTCTGATCAGTTCATTTGTCTGTCACTGGCATGTGTGTACAGCACCTAGCGCAAAGGGATCCTCACCTGTGCTTGCAGCTTCCCAGCACCACCACAGTC